AACCAGACTGTTCGCCCATTACTCAACTTACTTAACACGACATTCACCCAACTTTTACCCTCATTCAATTGTGACGGCTTCATCTCCATGTACGGCACATAACTTCTTTTGTGCTTGCGATGCGTTCTTGCCTTTTCGGAAGTAATACAATAAAATGTGTGGGAAGTGCACGTCCTGTTCTTTCATTTTTAAATTGGGATAAAAACAAAACTAAAGAACTAAACAAAAAAATGTTTTACTAATTAACCTAGAAGCCCATACAGTAAGAAAAAAATATAGGTTAGATGCTCTGGCCACGTTAACAGAACAAAAGAAAGTATAGAGTGAATCTGTCAACAAAAACGGCCATGACTTAATTGTCCACCCAATATATATATATATATATATATATATATATCACAACTTTAGAAACTATTAATATGACCAAGCAAAGCGCGTGCAAAATGACTAAATTAATTAGCGGATTAAGTAGACTTTGGAAGTACATAAAAAAAACAAACAAGCAAGCAAACAGACAAACTTCTTCTGAGTGGACTGCCAGTCTACGACGAAGGCGATTCTTGAGTTCGTCTGGAGTTAAGAAGGGCGGGTTTTAACTAAATTCCTATCAAATAATGGAAAGGGGCATAAGTAAACAAAAATGACTTTTAATTATGATTAGTGATTGAGGAAGAATCGAAATTTGATGGCGTTGGAGGCGGCTTGTAGGCGGCATCTGCTCTTGTGAAAGTATTCAATATTCACTTCCAGTTCTCATGCTTCTGGAGCGAAAACTTGATGAAAATCCCACAGACATTGACTAGACAATCGGTTAATCATTTTCTCTTTGTTTTAATGCTCAATTAGAAGATACAATAACGCCAATAATAAAATGTTTCATTTTCTCGCCGATATGAACATGCATTCCCCTAATTTATTCTCAATTGCATTAAGCCTAACGCTTAGTCATGAAGCTATTTACCGCAACAAATGGATTACCTTGCCAATAATCAATTTTTCCGAGCAAACCGGGTTTAGTTTTAAAACCTTGAAAAATTTTCAAAATCGGCATAACTGGCAAGGGTTTCCTCAATGACAAGTTACAAACACGATCTTCTTTCAGTTCCTCAATTGCAGCATGTGAATGTATATACCATGTCATGTTAATCAGTCAGTATTTTTAATTTATTTCAACGATGGGGTAATCAAACATCATTCTAGCATATTATTCCTGAGGACACTAACAGAGTACTTCAGCACATCCATGAATTACATAATCGATGAAACCCAAGTGAACATAAGTCATCTTCAATGAGTTGGAGACCCAAATTGTAGCTTGTAATTTGGAATAACACACACACACACACATACACACACACATACACACATACACACACACGCACATATATATATATATATTGGCGACTTGGCCATCAATTCTCTTCATCAGACAAAATTCGGATCTACACCTTCGTGAGAGCGGAGCGCATAGAGACAAACTCCTAGTTTATAAAACCCGCCATATTAACATAATGACTATGATCCCTGTCAGTATACACACACACACACACATCCCAAATAATCATGTTTCACGTTATGAACCTGTTTTCTCTATAGGTTTGCGGTAATTTAGCTAATTCCGGGAGTCTCTTCAAATAGTGGAGAATCTGGCATAGAGACTTCTGAGTGCAGCCAAGGCTTATAAGTTGAGTAATCACTACACTTTGTTCACCAATAATTCAGTATATATTGCTTACTATCCCTGGCGGTCTAAATATTGACTTGTCTAACCTATTTAAGTGTCGAATTAATTTGGATAAAATTTGTTGGAAAGTATTTTGAAGGATGAACTGTTATTCTTCCAAGGGAGGTGGTTCAGAGCAAAACTTACGACGATGAACTGAAGAGCTCAGGTGCTGCATACGGCGGGGAACCACAAAAGGTTGTAAGTTGTTGGTCAATGCCATCAATCGATTTACTGAATCCGAAATCGCCAATCTTTACCCGATAAAAATCAAGTGAGTATTCCAATGTTTGCTTTGGATCTACAATAAATAATATTCTATCCGTTTACCAATTACAGCTATCAAATCACATTTCTTTCAGAATCCTTCCTTTTCATTTTGTTTAAATGAAGCTAGATGTGATCTAATAAAAAACATTTATTTGCCATGTCATCAATTAATTTTTCACTATTTCTGATTCCAGTAGTATTTTAATACTGAAATTCATTTTTTAGTAAATAGTTGTTATATAGTTTCTCAGGATTCAAATAATAACAGATAATTGCTTTTATGATAAACTTTAGGAAAAGTTTCAATTAATGTGAAAATTTAATAAACAAGGCGATGATAATACGATTTTTGTTTATTGAATTCGAATATTTCACGAAAGTATTAGCCAATTTACCAGATAATTGTTCTTCACCAATACTTCATTCACTAAAATGGTCTTATGCAACAATTACCAACAAATTTAATTACATATTAAAATAAAGGCCACTTACCGCATTCACAATCGCTAAGTGGATTTCTCGAGCGGTTTCGACGATTGCGGACATTGACTGTGCCCGAAGTTCCCAAATAATGCCGACTGTTTGGGTTAGTTGAGGAAGACGCTGAATTGACAAGTCCGGGTCCCCCGATTCCAACTGGACTATTCACATCCGATCCCCGGTCGTCTGGTAGGGGAGATCTTAGAGCGAAGAAAATATTCTCTGCTTTGATATCCCGATGTACAACATTGTGGTCGTGCTGAAGGAAAAAAATCGAATTTCGATAATAATTAAAGTATTTCATAATGATGCTGTGGGACACGTTATCTCTGTGTGTGTCATCGTATGCCTGCATGTCTGCTCGCCAGGATTGGGAGGTGCGACCGTACAGTGACCAATCATTAACCTCTGTTTAACCTAATCCCCCAACATGATCATGAATAGCTCCCTGCGTGTACACTTAATCCGCAATACCCGTACTGAGTAAACGTGCTCCGTGCTACACGTCTGTTTCCTTTATAGCTGGGCTATAGCTTAGGTGGTTCTGGGAGTCTAGCTAGATGTAGGAGAACCTGCCATAGAGATTTCTGAGTCAGTCAGGCTTTACTAAGGTAGCAATCCGCTAAAATGCTCCTAATTGATTCAGAATTCAACTAGCTTCATGGTTTTTAGTTAATGAATTTTTTTCACTTTTCTGCTCGTTAAAGGGCTCCCAGATTTGCTCCGTTTCATCTGAGCATTGCCAATCAATGTCTTAGAAATTAGAAATGCCCTCAATCTCTGATATAACAGGCCAGAGCTCTACATTGTCTGATAATTAAGTTCAATCAAAAGTACAAAAGCTTTAGATTCGGAAAGTTTTCTCAGTACTAGGGTGGATATTTCTTTAATCTAATTTATGCTAATTTTATTAAAATTGTATTTGAATTTTAATTAAAAAAATATGTATAGGATATCTGGGATATACCTTTGAAAAGGGAAGCCGTGTAATTATGGCAATAATTTTATATAAAATCAACAAATGTTTGAGAAGTGTGTTCTTGAATAGAAACAGTGAATTAATGAGTATGCCCAAACTATATCAACTTAATTAACCTTGAAATTTGCTAATTTCCATTGAGATCAAAATTGAGTTTAACAGTTTAACAGATCACGGTTTACACATTGAATTGTTAAGGATGGGATGGATATTAAAATAATGATAGAAAGTTAAAATTTCTAATTAAATTAAGGAATCTTAAATATATTAAAGGGTAGTATATAATAATGTGTTAAGTTGACCTTTGAAATTTATTACAAGAGAGGCTGTTATGAAAATTTCCGAAAATCAACCGAAAATCCCCTCTTATAAGAGTCTAAAAATGAAACAAATTTAGAGCAATTAAATTAGCTAAATCACCATTCCGTTAAATCAACGGTAAAAGTATTTTATTGATTAAAGCGGAAATCAATTTTATTTTAATATTTCAGATATTTTGAAAACGATTACAAGTTTGGCGAATGCTGATTAGTGTTTACTAAGTAGGTTACTATTTATGCACGCCAACGAAACAGATAAGCTTCAACAAAATTATTGAATTGTGAATTGCAGCGTTACCATTTAGATAGGTAAGCATAAATCTTTGCATTCATTTATCACCTCTTTTATTCAATGCTAATAAGGGTATTTTTCTCTAAAAAATTATTTTTGTTCGAGTCAATAATCGTCTCCCATCTGTGGGACACGTGAGCACATGCACGCACAACTAATGGCCAATCAGAAGCGAATCCGCTACATTGATTATGACTAACCTTATTGAATGTACACTTTTACTACAATATACTTCCTACATAAATGTGTCCCGAGCGATACGCCTGTTCCCTCTATAACTGGGCTGTAGCTTAGATTGTTCTGGGAGTCTAGCCAGATATAGGAGCTTCTGCCACAGAGACTTCTGAGTCAGTCAAGGCTTTACTAGTGTATCAATCCGCGGCATATTTTCAACGGTTTGGGTATTTGAAATTGTTATAAAATCAACCTACCAAATGACTGATAGCTGCAACAAGTTGGGCAAAGATGATTTTGCCCTCAGGATCAGTAAAAGCACCCCTTTTTTGAATTCGAGTCTCCAAATCACCTCCAGCGGCGTACTCCATTACAATGCTAAGTCGAGTTAGGGATTCAATTACCTATAGTAAATATAAAGAAGTATTTGAATACAAACACATGTATATATTCTTATTTAGAGTTATTTAAATGGCCAAATTTAAGATTTTTTCACGTTTTTAGTACGTTCGTCAAAGACTTATTGTATTGTGCGTTGATGGAAATTGAAATTTCCTAAAAAACACTTGAATTTATTGTTCAAGGGAGGACGTTAAGGAAGCTAATTGTTATCGGTTAGGGAAAGGATAACAATTTCGAATTTCACCCTTATAAAATCACCCCCCCCCCAATGCCAATATTTCAACTTGAAAATTTCATTCAACTTTACTGATTTCTCACTGATTTTTGCGAAAAAAACGATCCTGTTGACAATGGATACAGTAGGAACGATATTTTCTTTGACTTCAACTTAAGAAAACACTTCGAATAAATTATTTACACACAGAGCTTTATTGGTACTGAACTTTTCAAAACGCATAAAATGCAATTATTTATACATTGGCCAATGCTTCTTAAAGCTGAATTTCAAACCTATTTGCGCAATTGCTCTTCTTCAAAGTTTGAGTAACCCCGCCCCCACCCCTCCTCCCCTACCCATCCAATTAGGGTTCATTCAATCTGCCTTCATCTAAGAAAAAAATTCGGATTGATTTTGCCCATTTTAAAATCCCTTACAGACAGTCGAAGAGGAATGCGAAATTAGATTAGCAAACTCCAAAGGAGTCAGTGAATATAGTTGCAGACAAGCACATCCGGAACTGCTTAAAAGGTATTGGCATGACACAAGGATAGCACATTGTTGAGGATCGCATATTAGTTAGTTAAAAAGGTATGAAACGTCAGAGAGAGAGTGGGGGGAGAGAGAGAATTGGGGTAAATTGTTTAATGATCGAAATATTGTTAGGTATTCCAGAGTGTTAGGGTGAAAACACACTTATAATATTATATATATATATATATATATATAATTATTTTCGTTGTGAAAATTCTTTCCTATTTTCTGCCCATTAAATCTAATGCATGATTAGATGTAAATTGCTTGTTTAAGCCAATGTAGTTTACTTTGTTGCGTACTTAATTTGAAATGAACAGTAAAGAGTTTTCGTCCTAGAAAATTGTGCTTTCCTTTTTCTTCTTCTTCTTCTGACTGAGAAATCGGCTTGTGGACCGTAAAATGGAGGAAATTACTTTAGAAAAATAATTAGTTACTTATATTTATTTTTACTATGAGGGGTGTGCGATAGAATTACCTCCACGTGGTGCACCCTGGGCAACATATACTCATACGGCAAAAAAGTCTATTAACTGGCAGTTGACTTCTGACTTCAAACTACTCTCACCCCATTGTATGTCATATTAGACTACTTCCACAGTATTCACCTCAACTTTTTCCACTTTTGTGTCTGTCTCTTTTACATCTTTGAAACTCTCTTCTGTTCCTCCTCTCCCTCTCGACTTGTTTCACTTTGATGTTCTTCCTCCTCTGTGAAGCCTGAAGTCAACTAAAGGGCTAATGATAACTTTCACAACGCCTGCCATTTGATATAAATGAATTTTTACTATGATTTAGTGCTCCATCAAA